ATGACAGATAACAACTTGTGTGAATGTGTTACATTTCTCTCCACGGCCTCCTCGGGAAGGTTCACGAGGAGGTCATCAAGGATAAGGAGCCAGACCTCCCAGCCGGACAGCTCCTCAGCCCCATGGGACTCTCCACAGAGATAAGCTGGCAGGCTCAGAGGCCGGCTGTCTAGAGGAGAACAGGACCAAGGTGCTGAGAGACAGAGCCAAGTTCTCAAGACAGAATATCTAGGAAGCAATAGGGGCCGGGGAGATGGCTCAGTGGAATAAGCGCTTCCCTGGCAAGCGCAAGGGCCTGAGTTCAATCCCCGGTTCCACCAAAAATAAATAAATAAATAAATAAGAATATCTAGGAGGCAAGTATGAAGTATGAGGTCAATACAACTCCTGGCCAGAGAGGGAAGAAAGGGACAGTGCCATCAGGTAAGATGGAAGTGCCAAAGTCCGTGGCTTCAGCCATCAAAGGCTCTCCAATCTATTAAAAAATGACAATACACTTTAAGGGCACACTGTGCCAAGAGAATTTCTATTATGAAAAGAGAAAACAGCATATGCCCATTTTATGGATGAGAAGACTGAGGCTTTGAGAGGGTAGCTAAAGACACATAGCTAGCAAATGAAGAGGCTGGGATCCGACCTAAGGTCTGTATAACCAATGTGCACACTCCTGACCACTCTTGGAGCAAGTAGCCCTAGAAATGGTGACCATGTCCACCAGACAGTTAGACACTAGTAATGGAGGAGGAGTGGTACTAGGACTGGTACATGTTGGAAGAGGTTCCAAACTTCTAGAAGAGGGGCCAGCCTGGTAGCTCAGTGGACTACAGCACCTGCTTAGGCAGAGCACAGTGACCAGGGTTCGATCCCCAGACCTGCCGGTGCCAGCCCTGCCCCCACGGTGTGCTGAGATGGCGATTGAGACTGGGTGTGGTGGCACACACCTGTAATCCCAGCACTTGGGAGGCTGTAAACAGGAGGATTACTACAAGTCTGATCTACATAGTGAAACCCTGTAGGCCCTGTACTAAATATATTTAAAAAATTAAAAATATACTTCCAGAAGACTTCATTCTAACCCTCGAATTAGTCGCTCACCATGCAGCCCCATTTTCAGGAAAAGCATATCACAGCATTCATCAAGAGCCTTGGAGCCCGTGTGGGAACTAGAATATCAGCACTCAGGGAGGCTGAGGCAGGAGAGTCTACCTGGGCAACCTCAAGTCTACCTGGGCAACTTAGCAAGACTATCTCAAAATAAAATAAGGAGTTGGGGATGCCACTCGATGTATAAGCACTGGGTTCAATTCGCAGTACTACAAAAGAAATTTTTTTTAAAAATTTTTTTTTATTTATTTGTGTGTGTGTGTGTGTGTATGTGTGTGTGTGTGGCCAGCTCAGCCCCAGCGCAGCCCACCACGGTGGGGTGCTGGGGGATTGAACCGCGGTCCCTGTGCTTTGCTAAGCTTGTTCTAAGTAGGTGCTTTAGACCACTGAGCCATCTCTCCAGCCCCAAGAATTTTTTTTTTTTTTTAAAGAATTTAAAAATTTTTATTTATTTTTTGGAACCACGAATTGAACTCCGCATCTCATGCTTGCCAGGCAGGGATCAGCCTCTTTTTCTTCTCTCTCTTGCTTTTCGTGTGGTACTGGGGATTGAACCTGGGACCTTATGCTTGCCATACAGGCACTTATGCCACTGAGCTATCTCCTTGGCCCCTAAATGTCTCTCAAATGGCATCTGTTCAGAAAAAGCTTCCAGAGATCAAAAACCAGAACAAGTATTTTTTTCCTAACTTATAAACACATAATTTGTTTAGGAGGAAGAGAAACAACTTGGAATAGATCAAAGTACACCTTCACGTTAATCATTCTTTTCATATACTTCAAATTTGTACTTAATGCCTTTCTCCTCCTGGACCTCAGAAAGCACACCTGGGTATTTTGGGAGGAGCCTGTATTTCTTCAAATCAATTTCTGGAAAAAATGTGTCACTTTCAAATTCCTGCATGATCCTTGTCAAGAACAGTTTGACATGGCCTGGCCGATCCATGGCTTCCTTGTAAACGGCGCTGCCACCCACAACCCACACCAGGTCCACCTTGCTGGCTAATTCTGGCTGCTCGATAAGCTTCAGGGCGTCATCCAGACTTGGGGCAAGAAAATGAGCTCCTTGGGGAGGTTCCTTGAGTTCTCTACTGAGTACTATATTAATTCTGTCTTTCAAAGGGCGATTCTTCTCAGGAATGGAGAACCAGGTCTTCCTACCCATTACCACCAGATTCTGTTTACCTTCCACTGAGGTGGTTGTGGTCATTCTCTGGAAGTAGTTGAATTCATTCCTGAGCGGGGGCCAGGACAAGTCCCTGTTCCTGCCGATACCCATGTTCCGCACCATGGCGCGGCTCACTCCGAGCTGGCCCGGGACCCTGAAGAAATTTTTTAATAGTGTTTGCGTTCTACAGCCAGATAGAATTCCAATGCTCCTGCCACCAAAACACAACTAAGCAGGGCAGGGTGTGCTCAGGCTTCTCACCAGAGGCTTTTGGTGTCCGCTCTGAAAAGAGTGAGCCCAATCAATACTCTCTCCATTTCTACAAGTCTTGGAGGAGACTACAGGCCCTTGGGACACTCAGAACCTAGCACCAGAGCAGGATGAGGAGGCTTTCACACACCTAATTCTCATCCAGGAATTTCCTCTAGTTTCCCATGCCCTTCCCTCCCCAAATTACCCACCAGAATTTGGCCAAAGGCCTCAAGAAGTCACAGGGGGACAGAATAGGGGCAAGGGTCAGATTTTCTCTTTCCCTTGATTGTTTGCTGATTACTTTCAGCTTGGTCTGGGGCCGCCAAATCCATCAACGTCTGCAGGCAGAGGTGGGAGAAAGGAGGACAGCAACTCTGAAGTGCACATGGGGTGTTTCAAGCATGAAGCAGAGAAAGTGGCACGGGACGCTAAACCAGAGAAGGAGGTGCGGTGGCAGAAAGTCAGACCTAAGGAGTCCCCGAGGTACTAGAAGGACCAACAGAGTAAGAGTTTTAAGAGGTGATAAAGGTAACCGGCTGTCAAAGGAGGCAGATATTGCTAAAGAAACAAGTGAAATTGATTCCTCTCTCAAGCCACCATAAAGGTGAATGGCTACCAGATGGGTAGACAGAAGTACCTGTCTGCGGGCTTCGGGAGAGAGAAACAAATGCAAGAAGAAACTGGATCCCCTGCAGGGCAGGTGAGCAGGAAATTAAAATATCTGTGTCCTGACCACAGTGCGAGACCACACACGTTCGTGAAGAGGCTGTGAGGAACACAGGAGTGTCGGCACTGCCCCTCTGCCTGCCAGCCCAAAGAGAAGGTCACTAGCCTCCTGACTCCAGAGGTAAGGACTTTCTAAGTGAGTCCAGCAAAGCCAGTGGAAACAGAGACAGCGGAGACTTAGACCTCTCAGGAAAACCTAGCACATGGCGTAGACAAGTCACGCGAGCAAGTGACGCTAGTTCATCCTAAGACACTCAATAATGGGCATTTTTTGCTGCCATCTTTCTGCATGTTATAGGCAGCTCCGAAATGTCGCTCAGCAATTCTTCCCTCCCAAGTAACACCTTTCCCTTAAGTATGGGCTGGACCTAAGGACCTCAATCAATGAATAGACTATGGGACAAATGAGAAGATGTCACTCCCATCAAAGAAAGAAAGAGGGGGGCCGGGGAGATGGCTCAGTGGAATAAGCGCTTCCCTGGCAAGCACAAGGATCTGAGTTCAATCCCCGGTTCTGCCAAAAAAAAGAAAGAAAGAAAGAAAGAAAGAAAGAAAGAAAGAAAGAAAGAAAGAAAGAAAGAAAGAATCTTCCAGCTGAGAACCTCAGTGCATGCCTATAGACTCAGCCCTCCAGGAGGCTGAGGTAGAAGGATCACATGTTCAAAACCAGCCTGGGCAATTGAGCAAGACCCTATCTCCAAAGAGGGATGGAGCTCTTGTGAAGGCCCTAGGTTCAATCCCCAATACCACAAAAAATAAAAATAAAAATAAAAAACCCTTCCTCAATTTGTTCTTCACAGACCCTATCTCTCTGCCCCTGCCTTGCCTCTCTCAGTTCAGATTCTGGCCATCCTTTCCATAGACTTGTTGCTACACTCTTCCCTAGAAAACGTGCACAAGCACGTGCACACACACACACCAGGAGTAGGAGGGACCTCAGCCTCCTCCGGCCATTATTCAGCTCCTTCCCAATCAATCTCCTGCCAACCACAAATTAGCATTACACAGGCATTTACAGTGTGGTCCCCAGGGTAGATGGGAGCTGCTAATCCTTCAGAAGGGGCATTGTACAATGGTGAGGGGCCCACAGTCTCCCCACCCAGGGGGTTTCCTTTGCAGCACTCCCAGCTCTTTTGTGAGCAGTCCAAGTCAACCACAGATGGTGGAGCCACTGGGCCTTAAGCAAAATGGAGAAGGGGAGCCCAAGGTGCACCACGCCTGGCAACTGACGGTGACACAGGCTCCTGAGCACTGGGCTTCTCCCAGGCTGTGAGTTGCACGGCTTCTTGGAGCTTGCCAGGCCTGTCTGCACATCCTTCCGTCTTCCTTTGTCCATTACTGGTGTGACCCAAGCAGGGCATGATCTCCCCTGGGCCAGTCATGGTTCTAACCTGCCCCACCCCTCAGCAACTTGGGCAATGGGGTAGGGGGAGGCTATTTGTTCTACTGTTTTGCTTCGTTTTGTTTTCCTTAAGGGCTTGATCTGGACTTCTGAAGTCTGGTTGGAATTCCTGGTCCCAAGGGCAGGAGCCCTAAGTGGGCCCTCAGGGCCATTCTGATCACCACACTGTCTGCAGCCCCGGGGGCCCCACCCCACTGCCCCTCGCTGGCTTACAAAGGCTGGGCCGGCTGCAGCTCAGCTGTGAGCCTTATCCGCAGCTGGCTCTGGACGGCGGGGAGCCTGCAAGAAGGGAAGACTCTTATCACAAACATTTCCTGCCTATTCCCTCCCGACCCTGCATACCACAGCCCTTCCCTGGCTCGCCGGGCCACCAACGCAGAGGCACAGCATTCACACCCTCTTCACAAAGCGCTTGCAGGGCACGGTCCCCAGGGTGTCCCACTCCAGCTTCTTTGACACGGGTACTGCCGCCTCCAAGGAGCTCGGACTCTTTCAGGCCACCCAAAGGTTCAGTCACCAAAATTCAGGAAGTCAGGTGGAACCTCAAAGCAAGAGGACAAAGGGCTGGGAAAGGTTTCCACCTCAAACAGAAGCAGGGGCTCGCTGCTGGAGGCAGGGTTGGGAGACAGCTACAGCCCTGGAGCACCCTCAGCCTGTCCACAGCCTCCTGGACGTGTGGGCTTGTGTGTGAGTCAGGGCACCAGCCCAGCCCAGCTGTGCACCGCAGGTCACCAAGTTCCGGCCCCTCTCCCCTCTCCACACCTGGGGCACCCTAGTCCCCCCCCCATCCCCTTGGCCCGCAGAGGCCTCTCGGCCTCCTGCCCCAGCAAGCTGTGTGGTCTGAGCCCTCTGCCACCAGAAGAGCCAAGGAGGGAGGGATGGGCCGCATGTTTACACTCAAGCATAACTGAACCTTTATTTTAAATAAATACAACTTTTAGCCAGTTTTTATTTCCCCTTTCTTTCCAATAGCAGCCTTCTCCCTCTTCCCCCTCCTCCTCGTGGCTGAGGTTTTATCTGTGGGGCCACCCAGGGAGGGGTGACGGGAGGAGGGGGACAGAAGCCAGACGACCCTGGCTCTTGGTGTCTTCTCAGGCCACGAGTCAGTTTCTTCTCTCCCTCCCCCCTTCCTCCTTCCCCGTCCCTCCCTGTTCCTTCCTTCCCTTCCTCCCCCTCTCTTCCTCCCATCCCACCCAGCTGTTCCCCTATCATAGGTTCCCCGGCCCTTATTCTCCCACCCCACAGAATTGCTGTCCCTCTGTCCGCCTCCCCTGCTGGAGTCTCACCCATCTGTGCCTCCCACAGGAAACTGTCTCTGAGTCTCTGGTGGGCCATCCTCGGTCCACCTTCCCTAGGAAATGCCCCATCTGCCCCTCACCCCAGTGGGTTGTCATTCCACCCCGTCCCCTTGATCACCCTTTCTTGTCCATCTGCCTCCATCCTCTGGTCATGATTTGGCCCATCTGCCTCCCTGCACGGAGCTAGCGTTCATAGGAGGGAAACACTGAGGCTCTCAGCTGCAACCCACCGCTTACTGTGTGCCGAGCACTGCACAGCGTGCGCCTTCCCCCCAGGAATCCTCCACCAGTGCCCTGAAGGTTTCCTCACTGTGCCTGTGCGGAAACTGAGGCTCAGAGGGTCACATAGCTTGCCTGGCATCACATAAGTCCCAGTGGCACATGCAGGGTACAGAGCCAGCTTTGCCCCCATGGAGTAGGGGTGAGGACACAGTCTCCTCACTCCTCGACCCCAGGACCTAAGACTTCCCCTCCCTAGGCCTCTCTACACATTCAATTTACACTTTGCTGCTGGATGTTTTCAGACTGAGGACGTTTCCTCCCTGCCCTCGCTCTGCACAAAGAAATGAGCGGAGCAAAAGCAGCCAGATGTGAGAGGGCTCCGGGGTCTGTGGGGGATGGGGAGTGATGTTAGATAAACATCCAGTGGTCTTCTTTCTGCGAAATGATCCATTTGCATGGCACCCAGGAGTTCGTCCAAGGGTCTCTGGGTCACTGGGGAAAAGCCTTCCGTGTGTTTTGGCTCCATATTTCACCGGCCACAAAGAACTAATTCTTCCAATTAATGAAATCAGCATGGCTGTGGGGATGTACTGACAAGCATTGTCAAGATGAGTATATTCACACCAATAGCGGGGCTCATAGGTCTACAGGATTTGGAGGCTGCCCCACAAAGGTTCCCCCGCAGTCAGACACACAGGTCATTCACGGTGGCCAGGATGTTGGCCACTGCCTCCGGGGACGCCTCTCTCCACCCGGAGGCGGGACTGGGTCGTGTGTGCTGAGGGGCAGCCTCTCAATGGGCTTCTGTTTGGCCTGGCCAGGTCCCCAGACCCCAGCCCACCGCCCAAGCCACAGCCGCTTCAGGGCTGGTTTGAAGGGCCCATTCAGCACTTAGGATTCCCCAGTGGGAAGTGAAAGAGAGACGGACAGAGGCTTCCATGGAGCTGTGGAAAAGCTAGAGGCCTAGAAAGAGGAAAGGATGCCTGAAGCCACAGGGAGGAGCCCAGCAAAAAGGCAGAAGAAGAGCTCAAGGCCCTGGAGGATAAGAAGGAAGCAAGGAGGGGAGAGTGGGTAGGAGAACCGGAGAGGGAAGGAAGGAGGCCTCCAGTCAGAAGGAACAGTCCCAGTCAGGAGACCAACCAGTGCCAGAAAGCAGTGTGGGATGTTTTAAAGCCACAGATTTAATTTCCTGATGAATTTTTTTTTCAGACTGATATTAGCAGCATTTTTCATTCACTAAGCAGATCTGCCGGCCATGGAAAAGTGAGCCGGCGTGTGCTCGGTGACCAGGCCCAGCTTCAGCTTGGACAAGCCCATAAGGGTGGCCAAGCTCAAGCCAACAGTTCTCCTTTCTTAACCTCTAGAGAACAACAATATATTCTGCCCCATCAGTCCTGTGGAGAGAGATAAAGAACGGTCTCCAGCAGCTCTGGTGCATACATAACCATGGGAGCCCACAGGTGAATTCACCCGTGTCAGTTCCTCCTGTGGTTTCTGCCTTCCTGCCTGGGTCTGAACTCCACTGGGTTTCTGAGCCTCACGAGGGAGGACGTGAGGAGCCAGAGCTGAAGCTTACTCCGGAGCACCTTGCTCCATCAGCACCAAGCGGTCTTTCCTGGGCCTCAGTTCCCTGATTAAAACCCACCTGTGAGTCAGAATCCACGCCTCCTAGAGGCCAGCTGCTCAAAGTGGGGGGCCAAGACCAGCTTCCCCCACACCACCTCCAGCCTGCTGACCCAGGAGCTGCGTTTTGACAAGCCGTTCAGACAGCTCCTACACGCCTGGCAGTGTGAGGAGCCCGGCTTCCCAGGGCTTCCAACCCACTGCAGCCAGGAGGAACTGTAAGATTGGCCAGAGACACCTTCACCGTTACAATTCCAGGGCCACTTCACGACCTCCACCTGGACGATGCTTCACCTGGAATCCACTCATGCAAAGCCCACCCCCACTTGAAGGCCCAGCCCACTTGCCATCCCTCCAGAGAGCCTGCCCTTCCTGCCTTTCCCTCCCTTGCCAGGGGGTGTACAGCTCCATGGCAGTCTGTTTGAGTCACCCTTGGGTGCTTCGGCAATTGTGCCTCACATTTTGGCTGCCCCCAAGCGTATCAAGTGGGCAGCTCTTAGCCCTTTACAGCAGCACTCTTGTCTCACTGCTTCCTGTGACACCAAGAAGTACTTCACCTCCCTGGACCTCAGCTTTTCATCTCTACAACGGGGGTAATAACTGTGCCAATTGAGAGTTGTAAGAATTCTTTTTTTTTTTTTTTTTTTTTTATACTTTAGGGAAGGGTCTACAGGGTGTTCAGGGTCTCATTGCTAGATTGGACTCGTAGTGATCCACCTGTTTACAGCCTCCCAAGAGCTGGGATTACAGGCTTGCGCCACCATGCCCAGTCTCAAATGTCTCAGCATGCCCTGGGGGGTGGGGGGTCACAGCAGGCCCTGGATCGAACCCCTAGCCCCTGCACCTGCTTGCAGGGGCTTTAATTCACTGAGCTATTTGACTGGCCCTTTATCAATATCTTTTTTTTTTTTTTTTGGTGGAACCAGGGATTAAACTCAGACCCTTGCACTTGCCAGGTAAGTGCTTATTCTATTGAGCCATCTCCCTGGCCCCTATCAATATCTTTATTGAAAGCCTGCATGCCAAGCCCCTATAACTATTTAATATATAGCAATAAGTTCTTAATAAGTTTTGCCCATCCTTTTCATGGCTCATTTGTGTATGGCAGGGACCACACTTCACACTTCTGTAAAGACGCACATGCATTGTCTTACAGGCTCCTAAAACAGCCTTGCGTATAGCACGTGGGTACGTAGCAAAATGATGCAAAGAACGGTGGTGTCAATTGCACGGTAAATGAGGGACACTCTCTGCAAAAGCACACTTACCCAACACGACACAGCATTCCCAAGACTGACTGATGGTTTGGTGCCCTTTTCCCTAAAATGACAATCGGCTTATTTGTTCCTAGTGATGACTGTGGTTTTCCTCCGTCTGGTTCGATGACTAAAGTCCTGTTCCCTCCACCTGGTTCTCACGCAGTCCTTTGGCTGTGCAGTCCTTTCGCTGTGTCTGTTTCGCTCCGCTCCCTGCTCTCCTATGATAGTGGCACATTTCCTCTTAGGTATCCTTTTAAAATATTTATTAGTCAAAGGTATTTTGTTTTGAACTTAATCAACAATTGTATTAATACTCTTATGACTCCTCCCACAAGTCTTTCTTTACAATTCTCTTTTTGGGCACAGAAATAGCTCAGCAGACTAAGAGCCTGCTTAAGTAAGCAAAGGGACCAGGGTTTGATCTCTAGCTCCACATGCCACACCAGCCCCACCCCCAGGGCACACTGAGCCGGCCACCAAGTCCAGGCATGGTGGCACACGACTGTAATCCCAGACAAGGGGAGGCTGAAAAGAGGAGGATCACTAAGAGTCCAAGCTGCATAGTGAGACCCTGTACCAAATACATTTTAAAAAGAGAGAGAGAGAAAGAAAAAAAGAAACCCTTTCTGTAATTTCATTCTCCAAAGGAACATTTTGACTGGGTTTTCTAACAACAGTTCTTTGCACAACAGTTCTTTGCAGAAGAGGAATTGGAAAACCAGTAGAGTTACATTTGCCCTGCTCTGTCGCCTTGATCCTTACCCCAAAGAACTCCTTGTGGGCACAAGTCCCCACCTCCCCCACCGGCTGTATTTCTCAATGCTATCTCTATGAAAAATGTTCTCTTTTCTGGTTAAATCCCAACAGAAAGTGGAATAAATGCTGTAAAAGAAATCCATTCAAAATGAAGGTCATTCCAGAGTCCTGTTGCCTGGGGTTACAATAGGCCCCTTATATAATATTGAGGGTTTTTTTCAGACTCAATTATGGTACTTATTATTTTGATCAATAAGCATTTTTAATTTCCACTGAGAGTCACATGTGGTGACCCAGTTCGGTTTAGATGCAATCCACACCTTGCCTGGCTCCCTTGGTTGTATCTATCTGTAATTTGCATGCCTCAAACTTCGTTTTAGTATCTGGGGACAAAATATCATTCATGCAACCAATCTCCTTCCGTCTGCCCCTGCAGGAAAGATTTTCTTTCCCCTGCCCTTCTCACCCTAGCTTTAAGAAGAGGGAAAAGACAATTAAAGCCACCAGTGTGGGATTTCAAGGAACTGAGGGGAAATGGGACAGCGGGCAAGCGGGAATTTGAGCTACATGGGAAATTTCTGAGAAGACACCTGCCCCTCCACAGTCTTTGTCCATGGGGATCCTAGAGGAGCAGCCCTGAGGGAGTGGTATTACAGTGGAAGTGGGGTGCATAAGCAGAGCCCCAGGAAGGACAGAGAGCTCTATCTGTGGGAAAAGGACAACTTGGAACTTTGGAGCCCCAGGGTAAGCACGAAGCTTCCAGCTTGACCAGACAGCTGGAAACTCAATATTGCCCGTCGTATCAGTTACCTCACAGACCGAGACCCTGTCCTGCTCACAGGGCTGCAGTAGCCAGGTGGGCCTCTGCCGCATAACTCCGGCCCCTTTCAATTAAGTCTCAGAAAAGTGCGTCCACGTCTCCTAGAAAGGGAAATCCTACCCGGGAGAAGGACAGAGAGGAGCCAGCAAGATAGAATTCGAGTATGACAAAGACCTCAAGAGGTTCCCACGTCTGCTTCAGCCCAGGAAAGGAAACAATAGTGAGGTCGGTGCTTAGATCGTGGAGATGGAGCAGCACGGCCATGGGGGCCTCCTTCCCAAGGGAATCAGAAGAGCTTCCCACCCCCTCACTGCTTTGGCCTCAAACATCCTCACTGGGACAGGGTGGAGCTCAGTGGTCCAGCACCTGCTTAGCGTGAGTGAGGACCTGGGTTCAACTCTCGGACCCCCCCCCCAAGCCCTTGCTATTTAAATGTCACAATATGAGATATCTTCAACTCTTTTTTTTTTTTTTTTTTTTTTTTTGGGCTGGCTCAGGATGCCTTCAGGGCAGGTCTGGTATGGCTTGAGGATCTGGGGATCTAACCACAGCTTCCTGATTACTTTTTTAAGAAGTTACCTATTACTTGGCAAGGGCCTGAGTTCAATCCCCGGTTCTGCAAAAAAAAAAAAAAAAAAAAATTTAAAAAAGGAGTTGAGGGGCCGGGGAGATGGCTCAGTGGAATAAGTGCTTCCCTGGCAAGCACAAGGGTCTGAGTTCAATCTCCAGTTCCACCAAAACAATAAAAAATAAAAAAGGAGTTGGGGGGCCAGGGAGATGGCTCAGTAGATAAGCACTTCCCTGGCAAGTGCAAGGGCCTGAGTTCAATCCCCGGTTCCGCCAAAAAAAAAAAAAAAAAAAAGGAGTCACATGAACAACTGAGCTAATGCACAGGCCCCCAATCTTCAACTCTTGATCAAATCTTAATCCTAAACACAACTGAGTCACAAAATCCTATTTAGCATCCAGATGTGAGTCCTCCTCCCCTTCGCTCTGAGTCTGCTGCCACGCCATACTGCTCCACACCTTTATGATAGATGCTCCATCAACATTTACAATCGACACACAAATGTACTCAACATCACTTGTGGCAGAGTCCCGAGGCGTGGCCTCTGTCCTCAGAGGTATATTTCCTACTGAAAAACACAGGTGCATGAGTTCATAATAATAAAAGCTGCTATTCATGGAGCCTTTATAATATGGCTTTTTTTTTCATTACTGGGGATTGAACTTAACAGTATTTTTACCACTGAACTATATCCTCAGCCCTCTTCCATGTTTTGCTTTTGAGACAAGGTCTCACTAATTTGCTCAGACTGACCTGGAACTTGCAGTCCTTCTGCCTCAGGCTCCTGAGTAGCTGAGATTATAGGCATGAGCCACCAGGCCCAGCTACACTAAGTTTTTTATAACATTGGGCTGCTGTGGTAGCCAAGCTCCGAGAGTCCCCAGTCCTTACCTCTTGGTATTCAGAAGTTTGTGTATGCTTCTTTTACACTGACTAGGGCTGACATGTGTAACTAATAGGATTTGTGGCAATAACGGTGTGTGACTGGGGAGGCTTGAACATAAATGACAGAGTAACTTCCACCTTGCTGTCTCTTACTTAGATCACTCACTCCAGGGATAAGACTTGGAAGAAGCCCTGCTCTGCGGGAGGCCCCTTGGGGAGGAAACAAAACCTCCTTCCTGTAGCCATGTGACTGGGCCACCTGGGAAGCAGAGCCTTCTGGATGGCTACAGCCTGGGTGAAGATCTCGCCTGCACTGGCAGGAGGAACCTCAAGCCAGAGCCACCCAGTAGCTGCTCCCAAATTCCTGACCCACAGAAACTATGTGAGATGGTGTTTATGGTTAGCTTAAACCACTATGTTTGGGGGTAATTTGTTAAGCAGCAATAGATAATGAATACAGTGTTTTGTCTTCATTTCCTGTTGAATCCTCATGCCAGTGCTACTGGATATGTATTATTGCTCCAAACTGACCAGTGAGAAAATTGGGAATTAGAGAGGCTAAAGGAGGAGGCAAAGTCAGAGCCAAAGCCTAAGTCTACCAAACTTCTAAGCCCTGTGATCTTCACATCTATGAAATGAAATGGTTTGGGGTACAAAGGTAGTAGACACATGGGAAACAGAAGGTCACAGCGGGAGAAGCAATGAGCTCTACTTGGAGAATCTGGACATGCAGGGGAAGAGGAGTCAGGGAAGATTTCTCCGAGAACTGAACCCCTGCACTGAGAATGGAGGGAGTTCAATTGCTCGGCATGTGGGACACAGAGGGAGGGAGCAGCCACAGGAGAGGTGTGTGGGGTGTGGAGAGCCTGTCCGAAATCTGTGGGCCAGGAAGAACAGAGGCCAGTAATGGCAAACCCTTCTAGAGACCAAGGACCCAAACTGTAACCCAAAGCTTA